GTGTGTGTGTGTGAGTGTGTGTGTTGAAAGGAAGCTCCAAACACGGGTTTCACATGAGCAGCAGAACTCTGATCCGTGCAATAATGAACAAGACAGGAGGTTAAAAAAAGTCACTAATCTCTTGTTTCTGGCACGGACGTTTCATCGGCATGAATCTGCAGCGAAACCACTCGCCTGATAAAAAGAAGCATTTTTCCTTTACTTTTCTCTTCTTTAAGCCTGCTGAGACGTCTCACGTAAAGCAGAGACTGTGGGCGTGTGATTGTCTTGAACAGCTTCCTCGTTGCTGCTGTAATTGGATTTGGCCAGACGATGACATTTTGTGTCACCGATGACGACTTACATCACTTTAAGTAGCCTGCGGTTGCACTTTGTTTTTCACTCTGTGTGTGTGTGTGTACATGTTAAGACATCTTTGTGAGGACAGACAACCTGCATGTTACTATACTTGTGGGGACCAACAGTCACTTATGGGGACAAAATGCTTGTGTCCACGCGTTTGAGGCATTTTTGAGACTCAAAATGTGGTTTTAATGTCAGGAGTACGGTTAGGTTGTGGTTGGGTTTAGGCTGAGCAGCCAGGGAAAGCATTATGTCAATGAGATGTCCTCACTAAGATATGAAAACGAATATGTGTGTGTGGGTATGTTTACTCACCTTCTTGGTGATGTGGACATATCTGCATTGTGAGGACGATTTGGCTCCTACTTTTAAACTTAGATGGTACCGGGCCGCGAGAGTTAAGGCTCGGTGTGAAATTGATGGTTTTCAGGGTTTTTATGGTTAACTTGGGCCCTTTCTCAATTCTCAAGTACGCGAGTCCGTATAGTGTACATGTATGCCTTAATAAAAACAAGCAGGTAAGATGTTAGAACGCTTTTATTTTTATTTTAGTGGACACTCAAAAATTACAATAGACAGCTGCTGGGGTTTGGAAGAGAACTGAACAAATATTTGAATATTTACACAGCTACATTCTAGCTTGAAAATATCTTAAAAGTTTATTTTGTGACCCAGAAAGAGAAATATTTAAAAGTTTTTAGCCGCGCTCGTCCGCCACTGCCGCGTTTGAGTTTTGGACGAAATGCATTCTGGGATATTTAGCTGTACCAAGTCCACACACGTCACCAAAGATGCATGCGCGATAAAAAAGGCGGAGCGAGAACACATCGGGAATTTTTCGTGTTCTCGGCTTGATGCGTACTTTGAATTGGAACAGTACTTGGTCTCCGACTGATGACGTATCACGAGTACACGAGAACGCAAGTACGCACCTCCGAATACGTTAGAGCACTTATGCAAATATGTGATGTGTTGATGAATCGAGCAGGTATTTGAAGTTTACACAGAAACATTCTCGCATGAAAATATCTTAAAAGTTTATTTTATGACCCAGACAGAGGAA